AGAATCTACAACTTTGAGGCCAGACTGGTCCACAGAGCAAGTTCCAGAACAGCCAAGTCTACACAGAGAAACTCTTTCTTGAGAAAATAAAAACAAAACAAAACAAAAAACTCCAAATAAACCAAACAAGCTAACAAAATTAAAAATTTTACTTTATAAACTTAAGAAATGAGAAGGAATTGAGAAAGCAAGCGCAAACCAAGGAGGCTGCAGGGCGCTGAGAGCAGATGCAGTGGCCTTCTGGGCTGGGAGAGGCAGGATATGGCACAGCTGGAGGACGTACTGAGAGCAAGTGATACTGCCGCCTACTCAGCTAAAGCGCAGCCCCAGGAAGCTCCATAATGACTTAGTCCATGAATTAATATGTTAGCAAGATGGAACAGACGGGGCGGTGTCGGCTCACGCCTTTAATCCCAGCACTCAGGAGGCAGAGGCAGGTGGATCTCTGTGAGTTCAAGGCCAGCCTAGTCTACAGAGTGAGTTCCAGGACAGGCTCCAAAGCAATACAGAGAAACCTGGGGGTACTCAGTGGTAGAGCATTTGCCTGCAATACAGAGAAACCCTGTCTTGAAAAACCAAAAAAAACAAAACAAAAAAGACGGAACTGTTTCCCGCTTTTCTTCTCTTTTAATTGTATGGGAGAGGGTCTCCCTGTGCAGCCTTAGCAATCTAGACTCATACTATAGACAAAGCTGGCCTTGAATTCACAGAGATCCACCAACCTCTGCCTTCCGAGTGCTGGGATTAAAGGTGTGAGCCACACTGCCTGGCTTGGCCCAGGCTGTTGTATCTGAACACAAAGTCCCCTGCTGGGCAGTGCGGACTTGGGCAATGGCAGACATAAGAAGTTTTGGTATTGGTTAACTGCTTCAAATTCCCTCTGTGCAGCCTAGAGCCTCTGCTGCCGCCAAGGTTTCCCACCGAGATAGACTGTGGCTCCTTAAACCAGGAGCCACAGCAAACCATTCCTCTTCATGTTATTAAGCCAGGTGTTTTTTTGTTTGTTTGTTTGTTTTAATCATAGCAGCAAGAGGAGGAACTAAACCAGCATGTTTGAGGGCCTGGGTCTCTCCTGGCACTGCCAAAAAGAAAAAGACAAAAATAAGAAGAGCAGGGACTTTGGACAGATCTATGCACCCCTGGCATCCATAGCACTGTTCACAATGGAACAGAGACACAGACACCAGTTACATCTCAGTTAGTGGCGCACACCTGAGGAAGGCAAAGGCAGAAGGGTCACAAGTTCAAGGCCAGCCTCAACTACATAGTCTGAGATAAGAGACTCTGCCTCAAATAAAATAAAGAAGAAAAAGCACACAGTAGAACATCATTTGGCCTCTCAGTAAGTATGAAATTATGACATAAGCTACAATAGATATACATGAAGCCTTTCCCCTCCATGAAACATCTGCAAAAATGCCAGAGTGCGGTAACCCCTTCATTTCAGCATTTCACGTTTTCTTGTTCTTAAACCTTACCTTCTCTGTGTGCCATAATTCCAAGTAGAAGTGAAGCCTAAGGACTCATGCAGGCCCCAGGAGCATCCATGGAAGCACAAATCTCAACCCAAGCAGGTAATAGAGGCAATTCCGTGCTGTTTCTCAGGCCAAAGGTTACATGTAATGTTACATTCTTGTGGCCATGTTCTAGACTAAATTTAACAATCTAAAACACACTTAACAGCAACTGTGATGGTTGGGGAATTGTTTAGATGGAAGAGGAAGCCCTCAGAGGTATTTCATCCCTGAGCATAAAAAACCCCAGCCATAAAAGAAAGCTTGACTGTAGACTGGGGTGAGGAGAGGGAGAGGGGGAAGGGACTTGAAATAAGCTTGTTCCCTAAGTAGAACTAATAAAAATAAAAAAAAAAATGCCAGAGTGCACAGCCCTTCGAAGGAAGTTCCTGGAGCCATCAGACTGATGGAAGCAGACATCTCAGCAATCACAAGATTGAGGCAGAAGGATCAAAGTTTGAGGTTCATGCTGGAGAGATGGCTCAGCCGTGCTCTTCCAGAGGACCCAAGCTCAATTCCCAGCACCCACGTGGCAGCTCACAATGTCTGTAACTCTAAGATCTGACACCCTCACACAGGCAAAATACCAATGCACACAAAATAAAAATAAATAAATTAGAGCCGGGTGTTGGTGACGCTTACCTTTAATCCCAACACTAGGGAGGCAGAGGCAGGTGGCTTGGTGTGTACAAGGCTAGCATCATCTATAGAGCGAGTTCCAGGACAGCCAAGGCTACACAGAGAAACTCTGTCTCAAAACAACAACAACAAAGTTACTTTAAAAAAGTTTGAGGTTCATGTTTTTGAGACAGGGTCTCACTCTGTAGCCTTGGCAGTCCTGGAACTATGTACACCAGGCTGGCCTTGAACTCAGAGCAATGCCTGCCTCTCCTGGGATTAAAGGTGTGAGTCACCCGCCTGGCTTCACAAAGTCTTTCTTTGCAAGGTATTGTCAAGGCCAGGTTCACCTTGAACTTGCAATCGCCTGCCTCAGCTTCCTGAACTGATGACAGGACTGTCCCCCCAGACTTGGCTTTTTCTTTGCACGTCTCTCTCTCTCTCTCTCTCTCTCTCTCTCTGTGTGTGTGTGTGTGTGTGTGTGTGTGTGTGTGTGTGCATGTCTGTGGTGAGTGTGTGTGTGTGGGTCCATGGTTGGCATCAATGTTCTTGATTTATGTGTATTGGTGTTTTACCTACATGCATATCTGTGCACATGAGGTCTGCCTGCTTTTGAGGTGAGAAGGTAGCTTCATATCCCTTGGAACTGGAGTTACAGGTGGCTGTGAGCCATCACATAGGTGATGTGGGAATTGAACCTGGGCCCTCTGTAAGAGCAACCAGCACTCTCAACCACTGGGCCATCTCTGCAGTCCCTCCCCTTTACATCCTGAGTTAAGGCCTCTCATTTGAACCCATAACTCATTATCTGACTAGTCTAGACAAGCAGCTTGACGCTGGATCCTATTTTATTACGGTTACAGGCAGCTACCAGGCCGGCCTCATATTCACATAGGTCTGGGAATCTGAACTCTAGTTTTCATGTTTGCATGGCAAGTGACTTAAACACTAAGCTATGTCCCCCAACAACATCTTTTTTCATTTGTTTTTTTTTTTTTTTTTTTTTTTTTTTTTTTTTTTTTTTGAGACAGGAGCTCATGTTTTCCATACTGGCCTAGATCTTAAGCTGTAACTTTTGATCTCCCTCAAGAGGTGCTGGAATTCCTCACTTTTCATTATTGTTAATTTTTAAATTGAATTTAACCATACTTCTTTATTTGTAAGATGGGGCCAGAGCCAATTCTCCTCTGCTACCATAGAGACGAAACTCAGGTCAGACACAGTGAGTGGCAAGTGCCTTTATCTACTGAGCTATTTGGCTAGTCCATGCCACCTCCTCCTCCTCCTTCTTCTCCTTCTTCTTCTTCATTCTTTTTTGATTCTTGGGGGATTTCACATCATGCATCCCAAATCTACTCACCTCCCAGTCCCTCTATCTCCTTCCTTCACCCTTTACATACTTGTAAAGCAACCAAATCAATTGAAAACAAACAAACAAACAAACAAACAGAAAACCCACTTCCATCCTCTGTCTTCATTCATCCGAGTGCTGCTAAGGTGTGTCATGCAGTGTGCCCTTTTGTCCAAACAGCTCCACCCACAAAATGCTCATTGCAGTGAGTCGTTGGTCTGGTTCAGGCCTCTGACACACCATCATCATTGGACCCTCACCGAAACTCCTCTCAGCCATCCTGCTGTTGTCCTGAGTCATGGAAATGCTGTGGCTGTTGTTCTGCAGGACCAGCCCCTTCATATGCTCCAGCACTTTATACATGAGGTAGATGCTGGGGTGGGCCAACCCAGGGCCCAGGATGTGGGTCTGGGTGGTGACTGAGCTGGTCCGTCTGGGTCACTGGAACTCTCTTAGGCCCATGCCATCAGGACCAGCTCTCCCACACCTATGGTGGGGTGGGGCCATCTCTCCTAAGTTGGAGGGGGGCAGTTCTCCTGCTGCAGTGTCCAGTAAGGGGCAGGACCAGCTCCAGGGCTGGATCAGCATGGCCCTTGAATTTTAACATGCATGGTTCCTATGGCCCCCTGTGGTACCAGTCCTGGGTATCATCCCAGATACCAGCTACAGATCCAGGCATGGATATCAGATCCAGGACCATAGATCCAGACATGGTCTTTGGCAGCAGTCCAGGCCTGGTTATCACCATGGCCCCAGTGGCAGCACAGGCCACTCAGATCAATGTGGTATCAGTGGCAGCAAGACCTTGAACACCAACATGGTCTCAGGTGTCTGTCCAGACCCTGGGCATCTGCACAGGCCCTGGTGGTAACAGGAGCCATGGACATTAACTCAGACCCTGGCTGCTGCTGGGCCACAGACCCAGACATGGCCCTATGAAGCAGCCTGAGCCCAGACGACACCAAGTCCCTGTGTACCACCCCCTTCTTTTATTTTTTATTTTTGTTTTAGGTTTTTCAAGATGGGGTTTCTCTGTGTAGCTTTGGAGCCGGTCCTGAAACTCACTCTGTAGACCAGGATGACATTGAAATCACAGAGATCTGCCTGCTTCTTCCTCCGGAGTGCTGGGATTAAAAGTGTGCACCACCACCCAGCAACCACCCCCTTCTTTTTTCTTTTGTTTGTTTTTCAATATATGGTTTCTCTGTGTAGCTTTGGAGGCTGTCCTGGCACTCGCTCTGTAGACCAGGCTGGCCTCGAACTCACAGAGATCCTCCTGCCTCTGCCTACCGAGTGCTGGGATTAAAGGTGTGCATTACCACCGCCTGGCTCAACCACCCACTTCTTAAACACAAGTATTTGCAGAGGTAAAAGACTTCCATGGGGATAACCCTGGACACTTGAATTAGAATATTATTCTGTTGTTTGAATTTTGAAAGAGGGCAGAACCATGTGCTGTGAGGGGTTAACAGGTGCAGCACACGACACAGGAGCCAGACAGTCTTAGAATTGCTTACCTGTCTTCCCCTTGATCTCGCAGAGCACGCTGAAGAGAGCAGACTTCATCCGATGGCAGTTCAGGGCATGCTTTCTGAAAGAGGCAGCAGAGGTGTGGTGAGAAAGTTATCTTGTAGGGAATAGGGGCCAACTTCCCAAGAGACCAGGCCTAGCCAGCCATCATGACACTGGTCACACCCTGTAAAGACAGGGTGAAGTATGCCACATCTCTCTGATTCATGCAAAATTAAAACAGGAATGTGCAATCTGTGATGGTGAACTTTGATTATCAACTTGACTGGATTAAGAAATGTTTGGAGCTGGGCTTGTTGGCATGAGCCTTTAATCCCAGCACTCTTGAGGCTAAGCCTGGTAGATCTAGCTCACAGCCTGTCTACTCTATGTTCCAAGCTAGCCAGGGCTACATAGTGAGACCCCAGCTCAACAACAACAGAAATGTTAAGAGTGGCTTTCTGAGAGTTTGAGGCCAGCACGGTTGACATAATGAGTTCAGGCAAGTTGGGGCTGCACACCAAGACCATGTCTCAACAAACAAATTGGAAAGAAATGCCACATTGCAGTCATCCCAGCACTTCAGAGAGAGGAGGACCAAGAAGCACTAATGGTTTGAGACCATACTTGGCTTGTCACGATGGTGCCGAGATCTCAACTCAGGTCCCTTCTCATAGGTGCTCACTGAGTGCCCTTACCCACTGAGCCATCTCTCTAGCCTCACCCATTCTTTTTTAAGACTCTCATGTAGTCCTGGCTGGCTTCAAACTCTATGTAGTTGAGGATTACCTTGACTTTCTGATCCCCACTTTACCTCCTGAACTCTGGAATTTCTGGCCTGTGCCACCACACCTGTTAAGCACTCTTGCCTTTTCCCCAAGGCATGGTCTCAAGTACAGGCTAGCTTCCAACTCCTTATGTAACCAAAGATAACCTTGTATTCCCAATCCTTCTGCCTCGATTTGAGTTCTGGGTGAGTTTATGAGGTGCTAGGATAAGTATTCTACCACATGAATTACCCAGCCACCAGTCATCTTGATAGAGTTGCTTTGTTTCCATTTTGGGTGTTATGAGCAATGTGGCTATAAACTGTGCACAATACTGTCACCATATGTTGCAATAGTACTGCAGGTCACACAGTAACATGGTTAATGTCATCATATTTTGGGTTTTTTTTTTCCCTTTCTTTTTTTTTGTTATTTTTGAGACAGGGCTTCTCTGTGTATTCCTGGCTGTCCTGAAACTCACTTTGTAGACCAGGCTGGCCTTGAACTTGGACTATTTTTGGTTTTCTGAGGCAGGGTCACAATGTGTAGCCCTGGCTGTCCTGGAGCTTGATATGTAGACCAGGGTGGCCTTGAACTCACAGAGCCACCTGTTTCTACCTCATTAAAGGTGTGAGTCACCAAGTCTGACTTTACTTGACTCTTTAAATTGTATTTTTAGTGTAGGTGTTGTCTGCATATAAATCTATGCAGCATGTCTGAGTAGTGCCCACAGAAGCCAGAAGACGACTTAAAGCCCTTGGCCCAGTTCTGCCCTTCTATCAGTTGGGGTGCTGTAGCCAGGTGAGTTGTAAGAATTACTGTCTATTGGCTTCAGCTTGTCAGCTATTTGGCTATGATGTGCACCTCTCTTCCTTTCTAGGGGTCTTTTTTACTTCTTGGATAGGGTTTTGATGGTTTATTTATTTAAATATATGTATGTCTATATATCATGTATGTGCCTGGTGCCTGGCGGAGGCTAGAAGAGGGTGTTTGCTGGATGTCCTAGGACTAGAGTCACAAATAGTTATGAGGTGCCATGTGGGTGCTGGGAACTGACCCTGGATGGCTCTTAACACTGAGCCATCTCTCCAGGCCCTATGTATTGAGATTTTATCATGATTAAATGTGTTTGTGTATGACACATGTGGAGACCAGAGGAAAGCTTTAGGGAGTATGCTTTTAACTATATTTGGATAGCATCTGGGTACCCTAACTCCCAATCCTGCAACTAAGCCTCTGGTGCTGGGATCACAGGGCATACATACTACCTTGCCTGGACCCTGAGTTTTCCATTTAGATGAAATCTAAGTGATCTATTTTGGTTTTTGATTGGGGTTTAAGTATTATTTCTTTTGTTTGTTTTGCTTTTCTGCTGTCCTAGAATTCACTGTTTAGACCAAGCTGGCCTTGAACTCAGAGATCTGCCTGTCTCTGTCTCCGAGCAGGCCCAGCTGAGTATTATTTCTAATAAATCATTGCCTAATTCCAGGTTAAGATGTGCATCAACACTTTCTTCTAAGTGCTTTACAAGTTGGCTAGGTGTGGTGCTCATGCCTGTAGTTCTGGCACTCAGGTGGCAGACAGGCCACTCTAAGTGTCAGGAGAGCCTGAGCTAAGATGTCTCAAAAAACAAATTATACAAAGTTAACAAAATTAGTTCTGATATTTAGACATCTAATCTCTCTCTCTCTCTCTCTCTCTCTCTCTGTGTGTGTGTGTGTATGTGCGTGTGTGTGAGTGTGTGTGTGTGTGTGCGCGTGTGTGTTGCTGGCACTTGAAGCCAGATCTCCTGTATGCTATGGCACTGCTCCACTGTGGAACCTTGTCCCCAGCCCAGCGTCCTAGCTGAACATGTGGTAGGAGATTAGAGGTGATGAGCTGAGGAGCTGTACTGTCAGTCTTCTGTCCATGTGGTCAGGTTTGCATCTTATGACGAGGGTCCTCAGCTGAGAGGATGCCTCCTCCATCAGACCCGTCTGGAGGGAAGTCTGAAGGGCATTATGACTGAGATGTGAACTGTGAACTGACATGAACCTGTCCTCCCCGAGCTGTTTTTTGTCATGGTGTTTATCACAGCAATGGAATCCAATGGGGACAGACTCCAGGTCCACTCTTCTGCTCGAGCCCATCTTTTCCCCACCAAATGTCTCGGCGCACCTGTCAAACACCTCTGGCTGGCTGGGGAAGCAGATCGACCAATAGAGTTTACCTAGTGTACATGATCCCAGCAACACACGAGCCAGGTATGGGGTGTACATTTGCAACCCAGAATTTAGGGGTGGAGGTAGAAGCAGGCAGATTAGAAGTTAAGGTCACCCTGGGATGTGAGGTGACAGGAGACCCTGTCTCAATTCTATTCCTTTGACCTGTTTGCCTAGTCTTAAGTGAAAAGCACTTAATTATTTATTGTTTTCAGATGAGGTCTTGATGTGTAGCCTGGGCTAGCCTCAAACTCCCAGACTTAAGGGGTTTCCTGACCTCAGCCTCAAGTACCTGGAGCTGCAGGTACATGCCATGTGCTGGGCTGAAATGTAATTTCTTTTTCAAATTTTTGGTTCTTTTGAGAGATGTAGCTCAGGCTAGGCTGGAACTTCCATTCTTCTGTCTCCCATTTCTGAATGCTTGGATTATAAGCATGAACCGAATATTTATATTTTAATTTATTGTGTATATATGTGCTGGAATGAAACCCAGAGCACCCTACAACATTGGACAACCACCTACATTGAGCTACATGGGGAGCCCTTTTTACTTTTTCAGTTTGAGACAGCAGCTTGCTAAATTGCTCACGCTGGCCTTGAACTCCTGACTCATCTCTCTCAGTCCCCTCCCTTTGAGGGTTATAGGCATGGACAACCACAGCCAGTCTGAAATACATTTTAAAAATATATTTTGTGGGCTGGATGGGGTAACACACACCTTTAATCCCAGAACTCAGGCAGGAGGCAGAGGCAGGTGGATCTTTGTGAGTTCAAGGCCAGTCTGGTCTATATAGTGAGCCCCAGAACAGCCAGGGCTGCAGAGAGACCCTGTCTTGGAACAACAACAACAACAACAAAATAGCAGTTATTGTGCTTTGGAGGCTAGACTTCAGGAAGGAAGAGCCAGGGGACCCACTGTGGAGGCCACAGAACAGGACTGAGCTGTAGCTAGAAAGTGGTGAAAGGTTTGGGGGGGGGGGAGAAAACACCAAGGCAACCCTCATTTCTTGTCTGGGCTCTGCATGGGTACTGGACCTGGATCAGAGACTGCACAGGCACATGCAGGCAGTCACAGGTGCAGTCCTTGAGGGTGGATGCAGGCAGGGCCAGCAACTCTAGGCTGGAGCAGCACTAGCACAGGGCTGGGGAGGGAGTCACTGGCCCAGAGATCTGAAGAAATCTCCACAGGAGGAGACAGACTAACCCAGACTAAAGCTCAGAGACTTTTGGAGGTTACAGGGAAGGCAGTGGGATCCAAGTGCTACTAAGGAGGGACCAAGGAAAAGCATGCCAGGAGAAGGGGACTTCGTAGAGTCAGAGTGGCGCATGGGGAGAGGGTGGAGATGTGAGGAAGAAGAAACAGCCGTCTTGTCATGAAGGAAAGCAAAGAAGTCTGCAAGTGGCAACATGAAGTGTGGAGGCAGCTGGGTTTCTACTCTGTGGGGTGAGGCTTGGCCACACTGGAGCCAGCTAACTCCTAGACAGAGCAAAACTGCCTTCCACAAGCACATCAGCTACTTCAAATTCCTCCAACAACTCTCATCTTGCACACCACCAAGGCTTCCCCTGTCCTTACCATGTTCCTGGTTCTAGACAAATAGAGACACTCCCTATGACCCAGAGTAGAACTCGAATCTACTCTATCCAGCTCCAGGTGCCTCAAACTGGCCTGCCCAGCCCATCCAGTTCATTCTGGAGAAAATCCTACCAAAGGTCTGGGCCTCTGCCTAGACAAACACAGACAGACAGACACACCTATGGCCATGGCTGTGTATGGTATGGTGTGCCTCTCTTGGGAGCAATGAGCAAATCTTTCAAAAGCACTCGTCTCCATGTGTGCCACCCTGCTACACTTAATTCAAACAAATCTGTTTCATAACCAGTCAGGATGGAGCTGGACCTCTAGGAGCAGAACACTCACACTTGTGTACACCCCACAGACAGGACACACATATGCACATAAATACACAATAAAATAAATCTCTCTCTCTCTCTCTCTCTCTCTCTCTCTCTCTCTGGTGTTTTTGTTTGTTTGTTTTTGTAGACAGGGTTTCTCTGTGTAGCCCTGGCTGTTCTGGAACTTGCTCTGTGTACCTGGCTGCCACAGTGTTGGG